GAGCTGCTCATCCTTTAGGGCACACTGCCCCTACTGTAACAGAATACAAATAAAAAAAGGTGCCGTACATGGCATTTATAATAGCTTCTGAACTATGACCCCCCCGGTCCCCGTTACTAACCTCAGGATCCAGGTCATCAAGAACATGCTCTAGCTGTTTCAGTTCATCCTCCGAGAGTTTGCTGAGTATTTCATCTTCATTAATATTCTTGTACTTCTCCAGCTCTTTTCGGAAGGGCAGAGACATGGCTCCTGCTGCACTGCCTGACTGATGCTGCTCCTCAAGATTTCAACCATCCAGGAGTACTGAGCTTCTTGCGGCTTCACTCACTGTTAACAATAAAGCATTATGAGTATCTCCATTTAGCTGATAAGAGTCCTGAAGAGTCGAGAGTCACATTTACACTTTATTGATGAAAACAAAGCAGCAAGACGCCCTGGCTCAGCGGAGGGGGTGTGGGAAGCGCTGGGGCTGCCTGTGCAGCAGTAGCCAAGGAATAGCAAGGAAGGGTACGGTACGCTTGGGAGCCTCCTGGGTGCAGCGGCAAAGAGAAGCTTTGAGACATAGATAAGAAAAAACATTGGGAACTTATCCTTTTCCATAGAGATAAATCTGTTTTATTTAATTTGCTTAGAAACAGCAGCATCTGCTTGTTCTTTTGGCTAAAGGCAGAGGAAAGTGGCAGAGCCACAGAAATCAGTCCAATGCTGACAAACAAGAAACAAAATGTTATGCCTTGAGGTATTTCTATCTTACCCCAGCTTTGCTGATGGCTGAAAGCTCACCCACACCGTCTTGGCTGGCTTTTTGGTACATTCTGGTTACCTAAGCAGCTTTAAAGTATGCTGATTGGTAGTCTCATTTCAAGATTTTTGGCTACAAATGATAGCACTTATCATCAAAATAATTCTTGCAGTGGGGATATGCTACTTATAGCTCAAAAGATCATCTGTAAATTAGTCTGCTGCATGGGGCACCTGCAGGCATTCAAAACACGGTCATGAAAAAAATACGGACTTAGTATTTCACAAACTCTTTAAGTTTTAAAACTTGAATGTCAGTCCTTGTTAGATGATCCTAACTGATCAGTAACAAGAAAATGTCATTTGCATGGTCCAAATAGTCACTGTCATATAATTTTTCATATGACAAAGGACTCTCTGTCTTTACTCGCTCTTTTTCTCCTGTCCAGAACCAATTCTAGAGCCAGACTCTGCCTGTAAATGGATGGAGTGAAAGAGAATTAATGTTTGATCAGAACCAGCATTAGCTGGGGACTTTAATTGGGCTCCAGGCCCTCCCAAGTCTGCCCCGTTTCCCACACCAGCACCAGAGCCCTCCGAATTACACAGCTAGCTGTGCAGTTTTACAGCTGAGTTTTTGCATTCGCAAATTTCGAAGTTACGGTTGATATGGAAACCAGCCAACTGGCACCTACATCTGGCTTATGTATCAACCCAAACTCTGATTGCCTTTGGCCAGGTCCTCGTCACAAGCTAACAAAATCCATGCGGGTTCTGTCGCTCTTCATATGAGCTGCAAGCCTGATCTTTATTTTTCCTTTATTCGAAAACCAAATGAAAATGTTACATTTGCTTAGAGTTTCACTATTAAAATACTAAATATTAAAACATATCTCATTTTTCTATTTATCGAAAAGACTAGAAATCAGCAACCTATAGAAAGGGAAGAGAACAATGAGTAGAATTACAAATTTGAAAAATCTGGAGTTCTATGAAATACTGCAAGGCATGATAAGCCGTGACTTGAAAAACTTAAACATCCTATTCCAAGAAAAAGCATTATTTCCCCTATACACTCTCATTTTTTTCCTTATTACTGCTCTGTTTGTTGTCCCTGTTTTCAAAGTGTGACGTCATTGTCAAGCCATTCCAAATGTCATGGTGGAATTCAACTGTTCTTTAAATTGCGATTTTCTTTTAGGAAGTTAGTCAGCATCTGACCTTTCACGAAGTTACAGCAGTTGTGAAAAATTCTTATATTGCCAAAATTCTATTATATGTGATGAGTGTGAGAGACATCTTGGCAAAAAAAGTCCAAAAGAGCTAATGTTTTTGTGTACTTGGTGCTTAAGGAGAACACTAGTTCTACATACGTTTAGTTGATACAATTCGTTACCAAAACTACTTGTTAAACAATGAAAGCGTTTTATTTAAAAGTGATATTTGTTTAAACTGTAAAAACAAATTCAGCTGCAGTACAACATTTCTGTACTGAGGCATCAGGCACCTTCTCTAAGTTTCTTTGGATAAACTCATTAAAAACGTAACATTTCAGCTAGCAGTCATTAACTGGGCTGAAAAATTTCTTTGAGGCGATTAGAGCTTTTTAAAACTCTATTTAAGAGTTTAAATGGTTATTTTATTAGAGTTTAATTGCATCCCTGGAAAAGACAGAAATGTAATCCCAAGGTTAGGTTAATTACATACTGTTGGAAGAATAACTGGTAAGAGTACGTAACAGTTTCCCTGGCTGAGGTGCAGCATTTCTGTTGCGCAGGGTGCCTGGCACCAGTACCTCTCCCTCGGTTGTACGGTGTTGCACGGGTTCCCACCAGGGAACACAGCTAAGAATTGTTTTACCGATATCGGCCAGACCACGTACGCAGCGGCTTTTGTGGAAAGGTTTGCGAGGTTGAAGCCAGGTGCTAATGGGTACTTACTGCAGAGTATGATCTGTGCGTACCAGGCGTTTTTGATTTCTTTGCGAATTACTGAAGTGCTTAGCCATAAAGGCAAGACACGCCAGGACACACTTTTCAACACATGACAGTTTTCAATATTGTAACGGTTTCCTTTTAATTATTAGGAAGATAAGATATTTGACCGTGTGCAGCAAGGATACCCAAAGAGAAATATAAACCCAGATATTAAAGATGTATCAGTCTAAGTTCTCTCATGGCACGAAGCACTATGTTGGATAACCCTCGTTAGATTAGCGGTGCACGGAAGAGCTTGAAATCACGCTTTTCTCGCATGCATACATTTGCAGGAGAAATTCCCTTGATATTTTCCCTTTCACAACTGAAATTTTCCTTTTCTTCAGTGGCTGAACAAAAGCAAAAGGAACTGCTTAGGGAATTTCTTTGTCCACAATCCCTGTAAGTAGTCAAGCTTCTCTGGAGCTTGCACCCTGCTGTTCAGGCTAGTGAAAGCTCCGCTGAAACGCCTGTCGTTCATGTTCCGGCTTTATGCTCTCTACTGACGTTTCACCACAATCACATTATCGGAAACCATGGGAACAAGATAAATCTAACAATTCAGCATGATTCAGTCTGGGAAGGAAATGCTGAAGTCTTGAGTTCACATACTCTGGAAATTGCTGTCTAATGTGATGATTATGATCTCCACCTTCCTAATTGGATTTCGTACTGTTAATTTTGTGTATGTAACAGGGCCATATGCTGTCTGTGCTGCTTCTCATTGTGGTTTGACTTTTCTGAGTGTGCACATACTGTTTACTTTCTACAGATTATATCCACTGGATTTCCTTTGTTATGATGACTGTACGAAACAAACGTACTCCAAACTTTCATCAGTCAAAAAAGCAATCGTCACTAACCAACAGCTCCTAGCTACTGTTATTTTGAGCATACAAAAGCAGATCAGGTGTCACACAGCAGAAAGGAGATGTTCAGTCTAATTGCAGAGGCGATACGCTGATGAATGTTACGCTGCATTAGGGACACCGAGGGAAGCGGAATGAGGGACCACGGATAAGACCATGGAGTTTCCCATCAAACTCACTGGGAAGAGCGAACAAGGAGAGTAGGGAATGGAGGAGCACAAATCCCATTTGTTTTTTTTCCATTTAGTTTCAGTACGGAGCACCACAGTTTACCATGGGCTCGAATACCCGCTGTTACACAGCAAAGCGTGCTGTTTGATGCCCAACGGGCGAGATCTGTGCTGATTCAGGGTAGTGCAGAACTGGAAGAGGTAGCATTTCTGCTAACCATGCGCTACTTTTAAATCTTTGTGGAACACAGATGTTTCGCAGTGAGCTTCAAAGACTCCATTGCTATATTTTTACCTTTGATTCCTTCTAAAGAAAGAAATACATACTTCTCTTTTATTTGGGGCAGCTTTTTCACCTATGCCTGTCAACGTCAGGATTAAAAATATGTTTTCAAAGACAAAAAGGGTGCCATTAGTCAGCCTGCATAAAATCATTATTGCTCTATGTAGTCAACACCTGCTGTGCTATAACTCCTCTATACTTTGCTGTGTTCCATAAGTACTTTTTGGTTATAATCCTTATACACTACTGAAAGGGTCTGCTAGAGTAGCTCGGCTGTGGTTTCTGCTGATACCATAATACTGTCGTACTTTTCTACTGCTGATACAGGTATTTCTTTCCGAGATGGAATCAGTCCTCTGCTGAATTAATGTCAGATGTCAGAGAGGTCCCACTCACATTTGCTTGGATCCCTTGAGAAGTGTTGGAACAACCTGAACTGTAGAACCTTCTATGGACCAGCAGCTACAAAGGCACATCAGGTCACTCATGCTGTCTAAAACACAGGCTACACACCTAGAAAAACATAATGTCTCTGGGGTCCTGTAGAGATGAGAATACTGTGATACAGACAATGTGAATTTCTGGCTTCTGATAGCGTGTACAAGCTAAGAATGGAGCTGCATGGCAATGTGCGTTTATTAGGTAAAAAGAGATGCGCTGAATGGGAAATAATCCAATAGAGTTCTTTGCATTTTTATAGAAAAAATGATCTCTTTTTTATAATCAGATTTGAGAAATTGTTCTCACTTTTCCTTTCCGAATCATGGCAACTGATGTTGGAAATCCTGATGCACGATCTATTTTAAACTATCTCCATATCCACAGTGGCGGATATTTGCGCTTTGAAAAATAGCTGAGAAACTGATCTGCAAATGTGAAGAAATTCTTCCCTTTCTTTAAACAGGCTCAAGTAGCTAAAGATAAAAATAAGAAACAGGTGGAATAAATCCCAAGTTAAATTGATACTGGACCAAATAAATAGGATTGGGGCCATTATGATTAAGAGCCGTGTTTGTGCAACACAAGCAGATGCTCAGGAGAGGGAGGGTGATTGTCCCGCGCCATCCAGGCAATGGAGTGCTCCCACCAATACACTTAATCCAATGCCAGGCAGGGGACCTCTCTGCTGTCCAGGAACTGCTATGAAAAATAAGGCTGGGCCGTCGAAAGCTCAAACTTTAAAAAAAAAAAAAAAAAAAAAAATACTCCCTTATTTGACATACAAATAAGGTTCCTTTTTTTCATTTTTATGCTTAAAAAGCAATATGTACTTTCTAACGATGAACATATGGGAGATGTATACTCAGAGATCATGTTCTGTGGTACAAAATTTCATCTTGGTTTTGAACTAGGAGGTTCAGAAATCTCAGAAAAGCT